CGATAATTTCATCGTGTGCATTGGCGCGCGGACGCTCGTCGCGCGGGCACAGTCCATCTTGCGGGAGACAGCGCGGACGACGGCGTCGACAAACGACGATGAGAATGATCACGACGCCGCCGACGGCAATGATGACGATGACGGTGCCCCGCATGGTATTCTTTGACAGGGATCATGCCTCTGGCATGCGCGCGAGGGCATTGGAACACATTCGACATGCGCGCGCGAAGGCCTCCTTGGACAGGAAAGGAGACATGAACATGGGGTATTCTAGGGACCGGCAAGAGCGCGAGGGATGAAATGTTGAAAACTTCGTTGGGAAGCCATTAAGTTTTTATGCGTTTACGCTGAGTTCACAACGAAAACAAAAAAAGGTGTTGGAAGGATTTCGTCTTGTGCGCGCGCATGTGGCCCGCATGGTATTGTGTCATAGGGATTCGTGCATTCAGCCCCGCATGTTATTATTTGAAAGGGATGCAGGGGACCCGATACTAGGACTACCTGGGGTGGTGGAGCTCATATGGGAAATGAGCAAGGAGGCGGAGTCATTTGTAAACTGCGATATCCCATGGGGGAATGGTAATCCCAGGGGGGGAGAAACGAATTTCTTTTAAGAGCGGATAATCTATGTGGCGCATTCTACGTGGTGCAAGTCACCAATGCTCGAAATCAGTTGTCAATTCCACAGCTCGCGCATTCATCCCACCCACCCACCCGCATCTTGGTTTGCACAACCCATTCGACGGCGATTGCGATGAGTGCTTGGCGTTGGCTGGTGCACCTGTGCGCCGCGCTAGCCCGCGCATGCTCGCGCGCGCAGCGGCCAGCTAGTGCGGCGCGACCGACGCGGACGCGGTGGCGCTGACCGCTGGACACTTTCCAGCGGCCACTTCAGTGCGAGTCGGTGACTTGGGCGGGCGCGGTATCATGGCGACGCCGACAACGGTAGACACGATGATGAAAATACCGATGATGGTGACGATGGTGGCGCTGACGACGGCAAGGCCAATGACGGCGCCGATGTTGATCACGCCCGCCGATACCGATGACGATGTCCTCGCGTCGCTAATGAAGGTTTTGGAAGGAGTTCGACATGCGCGCGCGGCCGACGCGCGCGAGTGGCCCGCGTGGTACATTTGTCCATGTCATTCTGATTAATGTAGATTCTGCGGACACCCCAAGGCTGCCCATGATGGTGAGCCCGGCGCCTCATGCAGAATACAAGAAGCAATGGCTGGAAGGAAAAGCGACAAAAAACGAGGGGCAGGGCGATGGAGAGGAGGCCCGCGTGGTACATGTGACACGGATCGTGCTCCCCCAGCACGCGCGCAAGGGCGTTTGGATGAGTTCCACATGCGGCGCGAGAGGCCCGTTTGGCAAACTTTGATGGCAATGTTGAAGACCGACGCTTTGATTTAGAATTCGCCAGATCGCGCGCAGGTTTTTTTCGAAAACGGATGGTGCAACACCATGTGCTTTTACAAAGTTTCGGAACACCTATTGTTGACATCCGGACGAAACCTAAGGATTTGAAAGATTTCGGCATGCGCGCGCGACGACGCGCGCGTGCAATTCGCCCCATAGTTTGCAAAGGACTACTGCGACATAGCGCGCGCAAGGGCGCTCGAACGATTTCGGCACGCGCGCGCGAGAGGCCCGTCTGGTAACCTGTCATGAACATATTGATAACCAATGGTTTTCTTAAGAATATGCAAGAATGCGAACGCAGTTTTTCCCAACCATCCTGTGGTGTTGGGTCCTCGCTTTGAAGAGACAGTGCCCCGCGTCTCCTTCCTTCCTTCCTCCCGCTGACCCCTCCTCCTCCCCCCTCCTCCCTCCTCCCTCTCATCATCATCATCGTCATCGCCATCATCATCGTCATCGTCATCGTCATCATCATCAGCAATCCACATCCGCTTCTCCCCCCTATCATCCACCTCCCCAAACCCTCATGGTCGTCATCATCACCTTCGCCGTCATCATCAAATATCATCGTCATCATCATCACCGTCATCACCATCATCGTCATAATCCTCACGACCATCATCACCATCATCACCATCACCATCACCATCATCATCATCATCATCATCATCATCATCATCATCATCATCATCATCATCATCATCATCATCATCATCATCATCATCATCATCATCGCTGTCATCATAATCATCGCCATCATCGCTGTCATCATCCCTCATACGTTTCGTGGCCCCATAGGGAGCTCCACCGAAGGCCCCAGTGCCACCGCCCGCATGCGTCACCTACACCCAATTCGGCACACCCCTCACACGTTTCGTGGCCCCATAGGGAGTTCCACCGAAGGCCCCAGTGCCACCGCCCGCTGCGTCACCTACGCCCAAATCGGCACACCCCTCACACGTGTCGTGGCCCCATATGGAGCTCCACCGAAGGCCCCAGTGCCACCGCCCGCATGCGTCACCTACACCCAATTCGGCACACCCCTCACACGTTTCGTGGCCCCATAGGGAGCTCCACCGAAGGCCGTTCGACCGCCGCATGCGTCACTACACCATTCGGCGCACCCCTCACACGTTTCGTGACGCTCCAATAGGGAGCTCCACCGAAGGCCCCATGCCACCGCCCGCATTGCGTCACCTACACCCAATTCGGCACACCCCTCACGAACCTTTCGGGGTGGCCCCATAGGGAGCTCCACCGGATGCCCCAAGTGCCACCGCCGCAAGCGTCACCTACACTCAATTCCGGCACCCCTCACGCTAAAGGGGGGAGGAGGGGGGTGGGACGTTTCTGGCCCCATAGGAGCTCCCACCGTGCCACAGTGCACCGCCCGCATGCGTCCCCACCCCCACCTACACCCACTTCGGCACACCCCTCACGCGCTTCGTGGCCCCATAGGCAGCTCCGCCGAAGGCCCCAGTGCTGCCGCCCGCATGCGTCACGCACACCCAATTCGGCACACCCCTCACACGTTTCGTGTCCCCATAGGGAGCTCCACCGAAGGCCCCAGTGCTGCCGCCCGCAGGCGTCACGCACACCCAATTCGGCACACCCCTCACACGTTTCGTGGCCCCATAGGGAGCTCCACCGAAGGCCCCAGTGCCACCGCCCGCATGCGTCACCTAAACCCAACTCGGCACACCCCTCACACGTGTCGTGGCCCCAATAGGGAGCTCCACCGAAGGCCCCAGTGCCACCGCCCGCATGCGTCACCTACACCCAATTCGGCACACCCCTCACACGTTTCGTGGCCCCATAGGGAGCTCCACCGAAGGCCCCAGTGCCACCGTCCACATGCGTCACCCCCATCCACTTCGGCACACCCCTCACACGTTTCGTGGCCCCATAAGGAGCCCCACCGAAGGCCCCAGTGCCACCGTCCACATGCGTCACCCCCATCCACTTCGCACACCCCTCACAAGTTTTCGTGCCCCATAGGGAGGCCCCCCCGAAGGCCCTAGGTGCACCGTCCGCCATGCGTCGCCCCAACCCACTTCGGCACACCCCTCACAACTGAAAAAAAGCAAGACTTCGTGGCTCCCATAGGGAGCTCCCGAAGGCCCCAGTGCCACCGTCCCCTCATGCTCCCCCCCCACTTCGGCACACCTGACACTGTTTTCGTGGGCCGTACGGGCTCCACGAAGGGCCCAGTGGGTGTGCCTCATGCGTCCCGCACCGCACCATTTCGGCACAAACACCCCTCACCGTTCCGTGGCCCCATAGGGGGCTCCACGAAGTCCGTGGGTGTGCCCGCATGCGTCCTCGCATACACCCCCTTCGGCACAGCGAAGAGACCCCTGACTAAAGTTTTCGTGGCCCCATAGGGAGCTCCACCGAAGGTCCCATTGGGTGTGCCCGCATGCGTCCCGTACACCCATTTCGGCACACTCCTCACACGTTGCTGGCCTTCGGGGGACCAAAGGGAGGGACATGCAGAGGGTGAGGAGGGAGGGAAAGGGAGGGAAAGGGAGGGAGGGGGTTGAGGGCAAGCTAGGTGCGCTCGCGTCATATCTGACGTCCTACCCCTCCCTCCCATCCCTTACCATGGCGCTGATTTTCTCTATCCGCGAACGCGTGTCGTAGCGGACTTGTGGCTCCGCGGGGGAGGGGGGGTGGGGTCTGCTGGGGTGCGTGGTAGTGGGTGGTGGTGCGACGTTGTCGTGGTCGTGCGTGCGTGCGTGCGTGGCGTGCGTGGCGTGCGTGCTGCGTGCGTGCGTGCGTGCGTGCGTGCGTGCGTGCGTGCGTGCGTGTGTTGTGTGGTGGGTGGTGGTGGTGTGGTGGTGGTGGTGGTGGTGGTGGGTGTGGTGGTTTTGGTGGTGGTGGTGGATGGTGGTGCTGGTGGTGGTGGTGCGGGTGGTGCTGGGGGGTGGTGGTTGTGGTGGTGGTGGTGGTGGTGGTGGTGGTGGTGGTGTGGTGGTGCGGCGCCGTGGTGGCGGGCGGATGGGCGCGCGAGAAAGAGGCCCGCGCTGGGGCGAGAACGCCATCCTGAACGACGGAGGCCAAACACCGATCCGAACATGAGGCCCACGCTGCAGCGGGAGCACGATTCGGAACGATTCGGGAGCAGAAATGAGGCCGGCGCCTCAGCGAGAGCAGCATTTTAGAAAAAAAAACACAAGCGAAAACCCAACTCCGGGGAATCCTGTGTGTAAAAAAACAGTACGCGGGGGGGTGCCGAATATCTTCCGGACGCCATCAGGGGAAGTGGGGGAGTAGTATTCATATTGTGTAATTGTAGAGGGGGGAAGGAAGAGGACTGAAGAAAAGGGGCTCGGAGGAACGAGGGAGTGACGATGATGATGAGAATGATGATGATGATGATGCTGATGATGATGATGATGATGATGATGATGACGATGATGATGATGCTGATGGTGGTTATGATGATGATGACGACGACGATGACATTGATGGCGACGATAATGGTGATGATGATGATGGTGGTGATGACGACGACGACGAAAATGACGATGCCGACGATACCGAGAGAAGGAGGAGGAGGAGGAGGAGGAGAAGGAGGAGGAGGAGGAGGAGGGAGAAGGGGAGAGGAGGGAGGAGAGAGCAGGGAGGACAACGACGGTGCCGCCGGCCATGGACGCGTTGTTCCCTATGGAACCGGGCAAGGCGAAGTCCACGCTGATAGTCGGCGCGAAGTGGTCCCAGGCCGCGAACATCTCCACGGACGCTCACAAGGCCGTCAGTTGCCACCGGGCGGGAATCATCGGAGTGCAGTTCTTCAGGAACAAGGACATACCCGCGGGGGGCAAGCTGAAAGCGCTGCAGGACACGTGGGAGGCGGTCAGGTGCTTGATCCTGGAGGAGGTGAGCACGATTTCGCCCAACCTGTACAACATGCTGGCGTTCCGGTCCTACCTGGGACGCAAGGCCGAGTGGGGCGCGGAGGAGCGGGAGTACGACCAGGTCGGCGGCGCCTTCGGCAGGATGCCCATCGTGATCCACCTGGGGGATTTCCTGCAGCTGGAGCCGACGGGAAGCAAGGTGTCGCTCATCACCAGCTTCGAGGAACTGGCGGCGGCGGGCATCAACCTCGCCCCAGAGTGCCAGGCAGTGATGAAGCTCTTCTGCAACACGCCGCTGTGCTTCGAGCTCCAGGCGTCCAACCGCTTCAAGGACAGCAAGCTCCGAGATCGCATGGCGTTCCTGCGCAAACCGGGGAAGCAGGTCCCTCCGGCCATCTGGGCCACGTGGAAAGCCATGCAGCTGAAACCCGATGATCGCCGGCTCCAGGAGGAGAGGTTCCAGAACGGCCACATGATCGGGTCATACTGGGACACCGTGGCGCGGTGGATGAACATGCGTGCTCAACGGGACGCGGACGTTCTGAAGAAGCCCTAAGCCGCCGACAAGTCTGCGCCGACGATGAGCGCCAAGGACGCCGCCAAGATGATGAACTGTGCCAACCCGAAGAACACCGGTGGCATGCACGGGCTGCTCCCGGTGCACGTGGGCATGCGGATTCGGCCCCTGGAAGCGCTCGACCTCAAGAACGGCCTCGTCAAGGATGCCGACGGGCAGATCGTGCACATCGTCGTGGACCCTCGAGATCGAGACGACGTCGAGAGAGCCGCGGGGGAGGGGGAGAAGAGGATCTACCTGAAGCGCTTGCCGCTGGGGTTCTGGGCGCGCATGGAGAAGTACGCGAGCGCGCTCTTCGTGGGCGACCTGAAGCGCCACGACGACAGCCTCACGGGGGACCTCGCGGGCCCGCTGGTGTTCATCGAGCCCCGCACGTCGGAGCCGTTCACCTTCCGCGCCTCCAAGGTCACGCGGACGGGCTTCCCGCTCTCGCACGGCAGGGTCATCACCGCGGCGGCGTGCCAGGGGCGCACCATGCGGGAAGGCGACGGGTCGCGGATCCTCTGACCCGGGTCAATCCAGACCCGGGTCAGCAGGAAACCAAAAACTGAAATGCAGGAACAAAAAAACTGCAACGCAGGTCCTCGCAAACCCGGGTCAGCCAATACGCGCGGCCGCCTCGCGGCCACGAGCGGCTCCCTGACCCGGGTCAGCCAGTGGGGGCCTTCGCAGGATCCTGCAGGATCCGGCGCCCTGGCTGACCCCCGTTTGCACTGACCCCCGTCTCGAGGCTCCCGAACGGGGCGGGGGAACGGAGCTCCGGGGACGGCCAGACCTCCGGGGCGCGAGCAGTCCGCGGCTAGACCCCGGTCCTGTGGATTTTCGCCCTGGGCCGTCGGCTGCCCGGCGCACTGCTCCCTCCGCCGACGTCGCCCAGGCGTGATCCTGGACTGCGGCAGCCGCGAAGTCGGGAACGGCAAGAAGGAGGACGACGATTGGTGGCTGGAGCTCTATGTGCTGCTCTCGCGCGCCACGCGCCACGAGGACCTCCTGCTCATGCGGGCGCCGCGCATCGAGTTCTTCCTGGCAGGACCGCCGGAGGGCTTGCGGAAGCAGCTGGAGCAGTTTGCGGCGCGCACGAAGCGGTGCAGGAGGGAGGCGACGGCCCTCGCCAGGGAGCTCGGCTTCACCGAGTTTATCCGCGAGGCCTGACCTGAGGAGCGTCCCCCCCGAGCCGCGCCTTCTCTCGACTGCCCGACTACTTGTTTGTCCTCGCGCCACGGACGACCCGCGCGCGTCGCTGGGACCCTCTTGGGGCGACCAGCGCGCGTCGCGGGATCTCCGTGCTGCGTTTTGCCCGGCGCCTCGTTCGCCCGTCGTCGCTCTGCCCAGCGGTCAGAGCCTTGCCCGCTATCAGCCAGCCAGTTAGCTAGCCAGCTCTCTCTGCTCCGCGCAGCGGACGACCCGCGCGCGTCGCTGGGACCCCGCCTGGGGCGACCGGCGCGCGTCGCGGGGACTCCGCGCTGCGCTGCGCCCGCAGCTTCGGATTTTTGGAGTGCGCGGGCAAAGAGGGAGGAAAAGAAAGGACGAAAACGGGCGCGATCCTCGCAAGGGGCGTGCCGACATGGGCGTCGCGGCGTGCGGGCGCTGCCGTCGGGGTTCCCGCGGAAGCTGCCTGCGGCGGCCACGCCCAGTGTCACGAGTGTTCGGACAGGCGTGCTCGAGCCGTTCACATTCATATACATTTACATTAAGCGTAGCCATGATCGCATCATGCAAATATACTCACTCGCACGCAGACCCATTTACACTCAGATCCCCTCGCGCTCTGACTCGCCCGCGTTCATTCTTTCATAATCTGACATATCGTATTCCTTTGCGTTGTGTACTCCGCCACATGTCGGCACACCCCTCATACAGTTCGTGGCCCCACAGGGAGCACCACCGAAGAAGATACTCACAATTGCGGTACTCACAACTGCATATGGTTGGGTCCTTCACCAGGATAACTCTGTGAAAACGGATGCTGCAACACCATGTGTTTTTATATGTTTTGAGATCCGGACGAGACCCAAGGATTTTGAAAGATTCCGGCATGCGCGCGCGACGACGCGCGCGTGCACACTTCGTCCAATTTGTTGCAAGGGATTTTTGTAAGCTAATGCTTCTTGATAAGCGAGTGCGCGCGCACTGTATTTTTGGTAGGGGATGGGGGGGGGGAACAGTTTAGCTGGGATGATACGGGTTCAAATTTAGGATGGACGATGGGCGCAATACAATATAAATTGTACACTCCAACGGGGAACCGATAAGTCGGTGGGGATCGATCTGAATACGTTTGATAGGTATGTGGTACCATATATGTGGCGCGCAATATGTAAAGCAGTACATGTGGTGTAAGCTATGTGTGTGGTGTCTAAGCCGTGTAGTGCTACGTGGTGTAGCCGCTTTAGACACGATGTAGTTGTGTTGCAGTCCATGTGGTGCAAGCGACGCGGTGCAAGCAACCTAACGATTGCTCTGTATTGCACTGCGTTGCAACGGAGGTGAGGGGTGCACCGTGTTGTATGTAGTTATGTGTTGCACTGTGTTGCGGTCGATTGCAATGCAACGGAAGTGACGGGTGCAACGGGGCGGCGGCGAAGGGCGGCGACGGCGACAACGAACGCGGCGACCGACACCCAGGCCCAAAAGCAGTGGCGACGGACGGCGGCGACGGCGACAGTTCGTTTTTGGACCAACAAAGAATCGTCAGTGCACGCGTTTTTTTTCGTCAGCGGCGAGGGGGCGAACTCCGCTCCAGCGAGAAGCTAGATAGGGGCACGAACTAGCGAATTGGCCGGCGAGCAAAGAGGGTGGGGGGGACGGCCGAGAGGAAAAAGGGACGCTCAGACGTCAAAGAGTTCGACGATGAGCAGCCGGGGTGGGCAGCAGCAGCCAGGCGCGCAGGGCCAGAGCGCGGTGGACAGCCGCGGCGAACCACGGTGGCAAAGGCGGCGGGAGGGCGGCAACCAGCGGCTGGAGATGGCGGGCGGAGAACGTACGTGCACGCACCGTTTGGGGGAAATCAGAGGCAACAGCGTGGAATGGGGATTCCCCGCTGCAATGTCCCGGCGGAAAACCGCGGGTCACGCCCGGAAGCCGCGAGGAGGACATCCACCTCCATCCTCCTTGACGTCCACCGCCTCATCCCCCTCAGTCCTCCGCAACAAGCACCTGCTCGTGCACCTCTCAAGCAGCACCACCCTGGCATCCCCCTCCCCATCGTCCTCCTCCTCCTCCTCCTCCTCCTCCTCCTCCTCCTCCTCCTCCTCCTCCTCCTCCTCCTGGGCATCCCAGTCTTCCTCCCCCTCCTCGTCCTGCTGCTCCTCCTCCTCCTCAAATTCATCATCATCATCCTCCTCCTCGTCCTGCTGCTCCTCCTCCTCCTCCTCCTCCTCCTCCTCCTCCCCCTCCTGCCTTACCTCCTCCTCGTCCTCCTCCCCCTCCTCCTCCACCTGCCCCTGCAGCACATCATGGATAAGACGCGGCTGGCTGCATGAATAAGACGGCGCCGATGCACTTACATCCGCGTGCAGCTTGCGCGCGGGTGAACGCGCAGTCGATCCCCGCGGCATCGCCCCCCAAACATCAAACTAGGCGGTGCAACGGACCGCTTCTGTCAAAGCCTCGTCTCCCCCCTCGGGGGCGGTTAACCCACCCATCCCGCTAATCCAGAAGCCGCATTAAAGTGATCATTTGTTTTTTGGCCCCCCCTCTGTCACAGAGGGGGTCAAATATGCCCCCCCTCTGTCACAGAGGGGGTCTGAGATGCCCCCCCTCTGTCGCGGAGGACCTCGTTCTGGGTGCTCTTCTGCCACGGGAGCTCCCGATACGATTGGAGACGATAAAATGTGATAGCGGGACGGGGGATTGGAGGGGGAGGGAGAAGAAAACGATGAAGGAGAGGAGGCAACGACAGCCCCGATGAAAGCACCGTTTCTTTTTCCTTCTCCGCTCGGGCAGCGGTCGCCGAGCACGACGGCGCGCGCGAGTCGCCGCCGCTCACGATGCATTGGCAAGGCCTCCGCTGCTGCGGAGGGTCGACGTTCGGCCGATGAGGCCTCCCTCCGCTGCTGCGGAGGGGCGGCTCCTGTGCGATGGTTCATCTAAGCTTTTCCCAGGGATTGGTTTCGGGGGGGGGTTCGACCCACCTCCAAGTCGTGGTCGCGACCTCCCAGTGCCCCTGGCCGCTACTCCACCCACTGTGGCTGCTCCACCAGTCACTGGGGCGTTTGTCGCTGCCGAATGCAACTTGCATGTCGCGCCAGGCGGAGTCGACCATGCGGTCCTGCAGCGAGGAAAAAAAAAAAAGAAAAAAAATAAAAA